ATATTTTAAAATAAAAATGCAAACTATAAGAAAAGGAAGACTGCTGCCTTTTTCATAGCAACTTTTAACACGGTGAATCCTGAATGCATGAGAACTAATAAATGCAGATGAGATGAAATATGTAGCATGGTCTGCTCTTACCCTCCCTGTAGCAGTCTCTCCCTCATGGTGAGGAAGTCCATGGGGTTCTTGACAATGCGGCGGTAGCCTGGCACCAATCGGGGGTTAACAGGTTCAAGGAACGGCCAGGCATCTGCATGAGACTCCATCTCCATTAGAATGATCCTGGCAAAAATAAAATAAATGACTAATATCACAGTGTAAAAGCCAAAACAAACATTGGCCTGAAGGCTTAAAAGTTCTCTTATACAAAATGAATACGAGAATAGCTCGACCGTCATGAAAGCAGGACTCACTCGCAGAAGGTGAGGTCGGGCTGGTTGCGGGTTGTCATGCGACGACGTTTAGCGCTGGCCCCTTCTCCAGAGTAACGAGAAGATGAGGAAGGTGCCGTGTTGTCCTTGTGCCGCGTTGTCATGCCGCCACTACGTCGTGGTGTCATCTCATCTTCAGAGCTGTCATCTTCATATCTTCTCTTTTTTACCCTGGTTCTGGTGTTGAAAGAGCGCTGTGTTTCACCTTCCGCCTGATGAGAGAGTGAATAATGGAGCAGACTGAGCTGAGAAGGAACAAATGCAGCATGACAGATTACTTGAACAGCTGCAAAATACTCTATTTGAAGTTGTTTATTAGTCAAGAATCACAGGACTGACTCTGACCTTGGCGACACAGGTCGGACAAAACCAGTCTCCCTCTGGCACCTGAATGATTTTGGGCCTCAGGCAGTACATGTGACAGCCATGATCACAGCTGTCACACAGCAACAGGCACTCGTCATTGTCTCCCTTCTTGCAAACCAGGCAAGTCTAGAAAAGAGATCACAAGAGAAGAAATCCTTTGTTAAAATGACAAATTCAAATCTGGTGCTGATGCTTGGTGACTTTACACAGTGTGCTCCCAAAAAAAGTAAGCCATACCACTTTAGTCACAGATCTCTCCCAAGCAATAGCCTTCTCCAGCTGCAGTAAACACAGACAGAGCTGAGGAGCGCTGCGGCAGCGATCTAGAGCCTGCCGCCACGTTCGTAGTCGTGAGGTGATTTCACTTTCCAAACTGGAACAGAGGCAAAAGATTAGAAAATACAGTTAAAATAAGAGACAAAAACAACATGATCTCACCTGCACTTCTCACCTAATGACATCCATGGGATGATCTTCTCCTGGTGTAGGGGTGAGAGGAGCAAGGCGCATCACTTCAGCTGGGTTCCACAGTGGCTCCTTCAGGTAGCGCCTCTCAATGTTTCGCTCAAGATTGGCCAGTCGCAGCACAGCCAGGTCCAGCGGGTGTGTAGCGATACGAGGCAGGCCAGACCACTCTTTCTTAGTTCGCACAATCCAGTCATCACGTGGGTCAGCGTCATGTTCGTAGTACTGGAGGTCATCCCGTGTGGAGTCGGGGTCTGGGATTGTGTAGGGCTTGAAAGTTGGCAGAATGAAGGCAGGGAGTTATTAAGCTTCAATGACTGAGACTTAAACAGGAGTCACACACAACTAATGTGAGACCTAAGAGAACAAGGTCTGTACTCATGTCAGAAATTTATCAAGTGTTTTAAGGTTACCTGAAATTCTGCCACCGATGTCTCTGTGTTGAGTTCGGCATCATTCAGTGCGCTCTGGGGAGGTGCCTTGAAGAAACACAAAAGGCATACATGTAAAATTGTATTTAAACACTTCTTGACTTTGAGATTACTTTTTATATTTCAGCATGTGGCCACAGCATTCACCAATACTGCAACCATTTCATGCTTGTTACAATGAGAAATATTAGTCATATCTTCTCTTAAAAATTAAATTAAAAGAGCAAATTGTCAACATAGCTTGGTATTATAGCTGTTCATGTAGTTTTCTAAAGTAATCACATTTTAAATTGCCCTTTGTCAACTCAAATTGAGTTATGGTAGCTACCTGACAGTCAGATTGATTAAATGTGGCACAATGGGGACACACAATAAGTGAGGTGATTTCTTACTTTCAGATGGAGGTCAGCAGCGATTACCCTCTGTTCCAGGTCCTCCACCCACTGCAGGGCATTGATGTCAGTCTCCACAGCCTTCTCCTGAACTTGCCATGGCTGCTGCAGCGCCTCCATTAGTGCATCTTTCTGCTCTACCTTCAGCTCAAATATCGGGTCTAGCCAGAAAGAAGATTTGTAAGGAGGGGAACAGCAGAAACACACAGAAGGGAAAAAAAAAAAAAAAGCCTGTAGTCAGATGATGCTGAGTGATAAATTCCACTACACAACAGAGGTGGTACATTTACTAACACCACTAACCATCGATAGGTTTGGTGCACATCTCGGCTAGGCTCTCCATGTGTTTAGCCAAATGCTTATGGAGCACCTTCTCTCTGATGCCTCTTGGATGGAGGGCCTGTAAGGTGCTATACAGTTCATCTGGATCCTTGATCCACCACCAGCCACGCACCATTGCTAGAAAACAAACATGTACATTGCACCGCACATTAGAAATAAGAAAGACAGAGACTGTACTTCTATGTTTCACTGAGACCACCACAATAAAGGGGTTTTATTTCTACTGCCATGCATCCGCTTTGGGGGTGCACTCTGGGAGCTAAATTTTGGTACACTTCAGGAGGGAGTACTAAAATCAAGTTCAAGAAAAGCAAATGAGGAGGGGTGAGTGCGCGCAGAGCAGACACCCATGACTGGTTAAATGTTCACTTTTCGTATATCGAGCATTAGCATTACAAGCACAGTGTGGATTAAATGCAAAACGGGGCCTTCAGTGAGTGGCCTCGGAAAAGCAGCACAGACTTCACATTTCTGCAAGTCTGTGTTCTGCTTGTTCAACAGCTGTTTGATAAATTTCTCATACAGTCTCCATTACTGGCTGGTTCTTGCACTATTGAGTGATCCTCCGCATCATCTGCTCTCCGTCTGCTCAGTTGTGTGTATGAGAGGGAGACCCAGCACAGAGAAAATACAATGGGGGGAGCAGGACGGTTCGCATCCACCTGGGAGGTTACGCGGGGTGAGCTAAGGGGTATACCATTCATTAGGCTCCAATAGTAGAAAAGCAGTATATATAACTATGCAATGAAGAGTCCTAAATGCCAAGATCAGCTCTGAACTGTCTTAAAGTTTACGAATAACTACACGTGGTAGCAGTGAAAAGCAGTTCAAGGAAAACAAATACATCTCACAGATTGTGAGCTTCTAATCACAACACTCTTTAAAGCAGACACTACTAACATGCTGGAATGGGCTTGACCACTAGCTGGGTGAAGTACTGCTGTTCAAGCTCCTGGAACACAGAGTTGGGTGGGCGGCCACGGCGTTTAGCTGCAGCTCCTCGAGGCCCCCTGCGTGCAGGACTGCTGCCTCTGCTGCCTCTCCTCCGCCTGCGACCTGGCTTAACGGGAGTTGTCGGAGCAGCAGCAATAGGAGCTGGAAGAAGCTGAGGGGGTTGTGGTGATGGTGGAGCACCAACAAGCACAGCGGACGCAGGAGGTGTGGGGGGAATGTCCGGTGGTGTTGGTGGGGCCACAGGGTCAGCAGGAGCCAAATCAGGTAAGTACGGGTCTGCCTGAGGGTGGGGAGAGATTATTGATATATCACACAAAATACCTGAAGTGAATTGTTCTGACATAAAATGTATTTGTATTGATTGCTGTGGGCAAACCTGCATGAGTGGAGCAGCAAGTGCAGGCAGAGCGCTTGGGATTTGAGGGTGGAGTTTAGGGGGTGAGCTGGGAGAAGTGGGTATCTGGGGCTCGGTGAGGGAGTTATCATCACATGGCTGTTTGGGGAGCAGGTTGAACCACTGTCCCTGTTTCTCTGCCATGTCTTTCACACTCGCCTCTGGTCGTTTTCCCTCTGGAGCTTCTCCTGCCGCAGAGCATGTGCCGTTGGTCAGCGTTTCCTGTGACTGGCTGAGCCAGCTCTGGAAAGCAGCCTGCGTGAGGTCTTGTATGCCACTGTTTGGTGATCCTGGCCCCTCTTCACCTCGAGACCTGACACTGCTTCGGCGGCGGTGGCGACGGATCTTTGCTGTGCGGAGATGAAGCTCCACTTCTGGTTTAATTTTTCGGGGGCGACCGCGTCCTCTTGGCCTGCTCATGAGGGATGCAGTGCCAGGGAGGGGGTCCTCCTCTGGAGACAAGATCTGGGGCAGGGTAACAGAAGAGGCTAGAGTAGGAGGGGGAGTGGTAGGCCTGGGGGTGTCCTCAACTTTGGGCTCCTTTTTGAGAAAGGTGACTGGCACCTCAGCTACAAGGACATCTACTGAAGCTGCAAGATACAGAGGTAAGGAAAATGTAGACAAAAGACACAGAGCCAAGGATTTCTGGAGTCTAAAAATTCTAATTTATTCTTAGACTCACTTAACAGCTCCTCTGGCCCCTCGACCAGAACTACTCCGAGCTGAGGTAAGGCCAAGTATCTTCGTCGATAACGATCCTGGCCCAGTAATATGGCCCGCATGGAATGAGATGACTGTAACAGCTTTTTACGGAAAAACGCTTGGCGCTGTGGAGATCCCAAAGCAGAAAAATAAGTAATACAGCATAGCATAAAAGTACAAAGCACTGTGTCTCCATAGTATCACTCTTACCTTGGTTAATTTATCTATCTGCCTTTCAAGCTCTGGAATGCTGGCGGTGGTAGGACTCTCACTCTGTAGCATGGAGAAGAAAAAAAAAAAACATTTAAATACAGAAATGATCAGGCTGCGACTCTAACCAACACCTGAGCAGATACGTACATCGCTCAGTTTGGGCTCTTCCTTGAGTGCACGGCGGTTGCCTCTCTCCAGGACTAGACCACTCTCCTCCAGACTGAGGTTCTCATCCTCGGCCACTCTGGCACTGCGCCTCCTCTCATCAAAACACAGCTCTTCCTCAGAGCGTCCTGTACGACGCGCTAGTGCCGCCTTCAGTCTGGCAGGGAGAAGACAATCAGAGTCAGCATGTTGTCTGGCTCTGTGCTTTGACTGATAAAAGATCTGTGTAATTATTCTGCATCTGAAGAGAGAAAACCATGGTCTTACTTGCGCAACTTCCCCTCAATGATCCACTTGTTCTTCCTGTAGGTTGCCATGTTTTCCAGCGTGTTGTCAATGTTACTGAAGCATAAGACAATACAATAATAAAGTAACAGAAGTGTGGAAGTAACAAACTTAGATTTTATAGCAGTCTTAGAAGAAATAATCTTCTTAGTCTAACCTGGTCACAGTGTTACTGCTGTTAAGCTCTTCCACCAGGAAACCCAGGATTGCTGCCTTGGTGTCAGGAGGCAGGGCGTGAAATGTTTTGGTCCTCAGTGTGTTGCACACCTCTGTCTCATAACCGTGAGACTCCAAAAAGATACGAAGTACTTCTGAAACTGTGCTGCGGGTTAGTTCTAGCTCAACCAGCTTTTCCCCCAGGATCTTTACAGACTGAGTGAAACAGAAGGATGGAAAAGAAAATGTAGACAAGGTTTATCATCAAAATTCACATTAATGGAAAAAAAATCCTCTACTCATAGGGTTGTGACTATCAATTATTTACATGATTAGTTATTTTCACAGATAATTAATCATTTGGTCTACAAAATGCTAGAAAGTCTTGTTTTGTCAGACCAACACTCCAAAAGCCAAAGATAATTAAGTTTAATACTGAAAACAAGGAAAACCTACAAATCCTCACATTGGAGACAATGAATGTTTGGGCTTTTGCTTGAAACAAACAAACAGACAAACAAAAACAAAAAAAAGACAACTAGTTCACTGGCTAATAGTTTCTGCTCCAATCCCACACCTGATAATATGATGGCAGGCCTGGATCATGGAGTGCAGCTTCCACCAGCTTTATCAGTAGGTCCTGGACTTCTCCTTGGCTGTCGCCCAGGCCTAGGAGGCCCTCCTGTAGGGTAGCAAGGCTGGGTGCGTCTTTGGGTATATTGAGACCGATAACCTTCCCATAGCCATGTAGGAACTCAACCACAGCCAGGCAGTGTGCAAAGGCTGTTCCAGAAAGAACGACACCAGGGATACGGGACAGCTCTGGCAGGGGCTGGTGGACACAAAGTTTGAAAGTCAGGATCACTTTGACAAATCTATACAATCACAGTTTTAACTAAGAAGACCTGGTTTAAATTAAAACTCACTTTGTGGTCAGTGAGACACATGTCCTCTGTAGGCTTCTTCAGCTCCTCTGCAATCAGCTGCTGCCTCTTCCTTTCCTCCATACGTCTCTGGGCTTGCGCTCTCCTCTCCGCTGCCCTCTTAGCTGCCAGAGCAGCCTGAGCTGCCGCCTCTGCCTCTGCCTGTGCTTTAGCCAGAGCCTTGGCTTTACTCCGAGCACCTAGCACCCTCTTACCCTGGGCTATCCTCTCCTCGTCGGTCTGCTGTACTGGTGGAGTAGCCTCTACCTTGACTGACCTTCTGCGGCCAGGCTTCTTGGGCTCTGCTGCACACTCTGATGCTGGCTGTGTGACCTCTGGGGTCATCAGGTCTATTGGTTCAGTCTTCACCTCTACACCTTTTGTCTCTTGCTCAAGCTGAAACCACACAGGAAAGAAAGAAAAGGTGGTGGTGATGAAGATGTGGTGCTCTGGGCAATGCTAAAATATCATTTTGGTTTTTAGTGTTGAATTTTGTCTGCACCTTGGCTTTCTTTCTTTCCTCTTTCATTTTCTTAATTTTAGCATCCTGCCTTCTCTTCATTCTTGCCTAAAAAATAAATATCAGCAACAAAATCAAGATGAGATATGAACAGTATAACAGACCAAAATTACAAAGACTTCATACCTTTCTCTTCATTTTCTTTTTGATTTTTGCAAGTTTCTCCTTTTCCTCTTCAGTAAGAGCTTCTGTAAAAAGAGAATAGAAACAATTAGCCACAGTGCAAACTTCTTGAGGTTATATATGAAGTTAGCCATCTGGTTTTGGAACATGAACATCACTGCTGAATCATTAGTCATACCAAACATCCCAATACAAACAGAACTCCTACACTCAACATCCACTCACCCTTGGCCTCAAGTCGCTTTAACAGCTTGGCATCCACTTTGCTAAGGAGGTCAATCATCTTGGGTTTGGGAGGTCTACCGGGCCGGCGGGCCTGCCCTCCCTTCAGGCCTCGAACTCTGCGGGGTCTCTCTTTATCAGGGTTTGGAGGTCGACCTCGCCGGCCAGTGATGGCCATGATCATAGAGGGAACCTCCTCATTAGCCAAGAGGATCCACTTCATACCCTGTAACATATTGCACAGAACACTGAATCCCCGTGATGAGTTCTACACTTTTCTGAAATGCTTACAATGCCATTATTTTAAATCTGATGTAGTTTCAGTCTAAATCACTGACAGACAATGATTTTACTGAAATGTAAGACAAGGTATGAAATTTATTGTTAGGACTAAATTATGCTTAGGTAAAAAGGAGCAGTTCTCAGCAAAATATACAGACCTCAGGAGTTTCTCTCTCTTCATAAAAGTCCCCGACAGGCATTCGTGGGCTGAAGCTGAAATGTTCTCTGGTGACCACACTGTCAGTGTGTTTCTTCAAGTACTGAGCAAGGCAATTAGGAAATGACAGAACATGCAAGAGAGAAGAAAATTGATCTCTGACAAAGTAAACATTATCTGTTGTATTTGACAGGAAAAGCAATGACTTCAGTATTTTTGGTTCTGTTTTGCAACCACAGAAATTTACCTTGACTATTTCAGGAAACTGCTTCATCCTCCTTCCACAAGGTGTGTAATACCAAGTCTCACCCTTCATACGGTTCTCCATTTTCTTCACATGAATCTCCCTCTTCCAACTACGGTGAACAGGGTTAATTTTTTTAAAAACAATTTAAGACAATACCACTGCACACATTTGAAAACTTCTCAAAACTTAAAAACCACTGATTTTTTTCCATCAATGGACAAAATGTGTCACGAGAGGGAAGCCCAGCTCTTGTTAGTTCACAATTCATAACTGGTGATATTTTGTGTTTTGTAATCATTCAGTTCACAGGTATTAAATGGTCAGCAATGCTGAGAACTGTTCTATAAACCGTTCTGACTGGATACCTTAACAGGTTGTATTTCAATCAGATCCAAAGCCTCAAAAAGTGGTTAAAGGAATAGTTACCCATGCAGCAGAGGGAACTGGACCTGTTCTTCTGTTGCAACCCTCCGTTTGTTAGATTCACCTATTAAAAAAAAAATTCATACAACCAGACTTTTTATTACACTTAAACTGTGATATGTCTGGGTAAAATGCCATCACATCATACTACCAGTACCTGCAGTAGAGCTGTCATCGTCATTTTCTTCAACATCATCAGCAGTCATTTCTGTATCTTGTTTAGCCGTTTTTACCGCATTTCCTTCTTGGTCTTGTTTCTTGACCCTTCTTGCCTTCTTGGGTTTCTCAGCTGCTGTGTTAATAGCCGAAGCGTTGGCCAAAACAGCTTCAATCGTGGCTGTGATTGAATCAGCCGCCTCTGTGGAGGACCCAGCCTCTCCAGATACACCTGATGTTTCTTGTACATCCATCTTGAGTGACTTCCTCCTCCTCCTGCCCTTGGGCTCCTCCTCTTTACTGTCTCGTTCCTCATCAGTCTTGACCTTCTCCACTTTAAGAGTTCGAACTCTGGGCTTCCGCTGGGATTCCACAGGAGCTTAAAATAAAAGAGAAACACAAAAATTAGTTCTGAAAGCTTCTATTTTTAAACTACCATTCTGCTGAAAAGAGAATGTTGGATACCTGTGGTTTTAATCCATATTGCCTTTGGAGCTCGAGGTTTGCGTGGTTTTGCTGGGGTTTTCAAGTGTCCTTCAGCGGCTGACACAGTTTGGTCAGTTACTGGTTGGAATGAGTGTACAGCTGGGTTCTCTGCTGGGGTACTGAAGGCCATAAAGGTCTCATCTCTCATCTTGAATCTCAGGGGAGTCATCTCATTAGCAGCGGTCTTAATGCTAATCCGTCCAACTGAGTCTGGTGTATTGTGTCCTCTGGGCTCCCACTCTGTTTCAAGTCCTAATTAAAGATGAAACAATGATATTAAACTGTTAGCAGTAACCACAAATGTAACATATTGAAACATCAAAATAAGAAGAGATGTATATCTCCATTTGGTGACAAGGGAGAATACAAAAACAAATATTGTAATAAATCATTCTACATAAATAATTACTGTTTGTCAACAGTAACAATAATAGTTTTCATGTTTACGAACTTTCAGAACAAACCTTGAGAACCAGGCTGAGATTGTACACATGACTGCGAGTCGGACACCTCACTTGAGTCGACAGAGTTCACTTCCATTTGAGAGGTGGTGTTTAGAGAAGACTCCAGCATGGAGTCCCCTGTGACTTGGCAACGGTTCGTGGTTTCTTTTTCCTTAGTGGAGTCCAACATGTCATCTCTGGAGTCTTCCAGAAAGCAGCTGCTATCTCTAGTGCTGTCGAATGCAGTAGATGGCTCCTCTTCAGCATATGAGGTGCTGTCAAACTGAGAGCTGTCCTCTCTCATGTGAAAGCTGTTGTCAAAGTGAGTGGAGTCATCTATGCCTGAGCCCTCACCATCTAAAAGAGAGGTCTTTCCCAAAACAGAGCTGGCTTCCATTCTAGAGGGGGTGTCACATGTTGAATTACCATCATATTGACAAGCAGTAAGTGAAGAGTTAACAAAACTTTCTTCCTGTTCTACCCTTGTGCTGTGAAGCTGTGGGGACTTTCTGAATAGAGGGTGCCTCTCTGTAGAGTCCTCTGCCTCACACATGTCACCGCTTTGCATGTGGTGCCTCTCAGTTAGTTTTTTCTTGGATTTTTGATCAGAAGGAACAGTCGTCTGCAAAGGTTTCCCAGGAAAATCGATTGCTTCCACCCTCTGTGGTGTCCTTATCATGCCTGAATCGAGCTGAGTGAGGTGTTCCTCAGCTTTTCCAATTCTTTTATCACCCAACACTTTCCTATCCTTGCTAAGACCATGGTGCTCTGGTTTGGGAGACAACTGCTTTAGTGCATGCCAAGGAGTAGTGTTAGGAGAATTCTGTTCAGAGTCAGAACTTTGGACCACTCCAGAAGACACAACTGTTGCAGGAGGCACAGACACCAAGGCAGGAGAGTCAGACGTGGGTGCAGTCCTGGAGGCTTGAGTGGTTAGAAGAGGTAGGGTAGACAGAGGTCGGACTATAGGACTTTTGTGAGCTGCTAAAGAGGATACGTTCACCACTTCCGGTGGTGACAAGGCTGCAGAAGCAGTGGAATGACCAGAGTCAACAGCTGGAGGAGTGTATGTACCGTGCCGGGGTATAGACGCTGGTACACAACGTTTACTGTCTGCAGAAGGACTTACTGGCACAGATGTGGGAGTTTGAGATGTTGATAAACAAGAGTCAGGTGGTGTTGAGGTCAGAGATCCTGATACTGACACAAGAGATGGAGCCACACCGGCTGATGAGGATTTTCCAACTGACAAAGTGGCAGACATCAGTTTTGGAGGTCCATGTTTTTCATGCTGAGTTCCAGATGACTCGGGAAAGCAAGGCTGTCTGGACCCTTGAACCATCTGCTGAAGTGATGACACGGGTGCAGACACTGTGTAAGAAGATGCTGTAGGAGGCAATTCTTGCTTGTTCTGATGGGTCACAGACTCTGATGGAAAACAGGCTGAAGGGAAAGAAGAAAGCGGGGCAGGTCTAGAAACGCTATCAGCCAAAGCTAAAGGTGGTATGGGCAGAGAAGAAGAAGAAAAGGACCCCGCTGACAGATGCTTAGATCCAGCAGAGGATATCTCAGTTGCAGTAGAAGTGGGAGGCCTGAGGCCTTGTACCATCAGCGGAGGTGAGGAAAGTCTGGGAGAAGCAGTTGGAGATGGAGCAGAGAACATGCTTGGGGGTGTTGAGATTTGTGGTGGAGGAGATTCTAAATCATGAGATGAAACAAGTGGGGGCCCATGTGCAGATGTGGGAGATCCAGAAACAGCAGGAGCCACAGAGGCCTTAACTAAAGACGTTGACACTGCTGTGGGTGATGTAGATGCAGAAAGCTGAGACGACACAGACTGGTGAGGTGGATAACTGGCTGCGTCTCTGACAGGTGAAGCCATTTCTGGATGCTGAGCTGCTGGCTGTTCAGAATGCTGTCGATAATCACTTGCTGATGACACATGAGGCACAGAAGGTTTGGGTGGGTGACTGTCAGTTTTGGGTAGCCTCTGTGCAACACATGTTCGTTCGCTGCCATTATAGCTAGTGTCGCCCTCTTTAACAGCTTCCCTCGTATGCCCTGAGCAAAAGAGAGAATCAACATTAGAATCATAATTACTAAACAGTCGATACTATGATACATTCAGAGTGAGATGTAGAAAATAAAATTGTGTTCAATAGGAATTAGCTGTCCCCAGGAAACCGGCTGGTCGGTGAAGCACATCATCAGAACAGTGGCACCTGCTGGTTAAACCTCGGCACTACCTAATCATTAAACACCGGTAGAGTGATGAATATCAAACATTCATGCGCTGAAATACACTTGGCATGGCTGCAAATATCAGTTATTTTCATTATTTATCAATTAATTAGCCAAACACTTTCTCAAATAATTGTTTTGTGTATAACATTGCCAAAAGCAGCCATGACAATTCCCCAGGGTCAAAACTGACGCATTCAAATGTGTTGTTTTGTTTGATTAAAAGTGCAAAAGATATTCAGTTCATTATTATGTCAGAGAAGCTGTGACTGGAAAATAATAGTTAACTGATTATCATTAACATCATATACTATTAATGATCTAATCTTCTCAGCTACAAACTAAAGAAATATGTCCAGCTATGTTGTACTCAGTTAGCTGTAATAACTGTATTCATTTAAACAATACCAGTTTTTCCAGATAACACGTGAAGCTGTAATGCAACCAGAGTGCCATATGATCAGTACCTGGATGGCCAAATATGGCCAAAGAGGAAGAAACCCTTATGACTATACAACTATCAACTCATCTGGTGGCTTTAAAAGAGGAAATGAAGTAGCAGAGAACAATTTGTTCCGTTATGAAGAAAGAAAAGGTAGATATAGCTACCAGAAATACTATCAAAATGTACAACTAATTAAATCCAAACATATCTATTAAGGTAAGAACCTTCTATGGAAACCAGGAAAACACAAATAGATTAAAATCTAATAGGCCAAAATAAATAAAAATCCTCACATGTCAAGTGGTCACCTTGCATGACAGAAGACAATCCCACGTTACCAGCATGGGGGCTCCGTTCCCTGTTGTGGCCCTTGGGTGATCCACTATCCTGCACTGTTGACGGTGACATAATTGGTGCTGAAGGCATGCTCACAGGGAGAGGGCTGCCAGTACCCCCTCTGCCAAAACTATGGTGCTGTGGGCTGCCACGTGGTGGTGTAAAATTCTGAGCAGCTGGGGGTATCATCTGAGCCTGGCCTTGGGGCTGAGACTGCTGTGGCGGCTGCTGCTCCGGAGATGGCAGGGAGGGATGCTGGGACTGATGCTGGTAGTAGGGCATCCCATTAGGCAGCATGCCATAATGTTGAGGTTGCTGGTGGTGATGGTGAGAGTGTGGGTGCTGCTGTGACGGCTGATGCGGGGGAGGAAGTAAGGATTGCTGCTGGTGATGCTGGGACGTCGTAATCCCAGGATGTGCCTGACCCTGGTATGTCCCGTACATGCTGTGGGAATTATAACCCATCTGCTGTGGGCCAGCATTACTCCTGTTCCAGTACTGACTTCCAGTAAGAGGCATGTTTGGTGGGCCTGCCACAGGGGACTGGTGGGAACTTTCAATACCGCCATTCACTTGGTACTGTCCTTGGCCCTGGAAGTGGTGCTGTGACTGAGGCTGTACCATCCCAGGTGAAGGCTGCTTTTGGTGCATCCCATGCCCAGGAGAGGTACCCATTGCTGGACCATACTGAGGGTGTCCTCCCCACAAGTAGTCATAGCCCATGTTGCTCTGATGGTGGTTGCTCATGTGTGGGTAAGAAGCCGTTGGTGGTTGGGAACCAGGTACACTGGACCCAAGTACAGTAGTGACGCCATTCACATTCATTTCACCGTTAATATCTGTTAGACATAAAAACATGAGTCAAGTTTTAGTTTAATCTGCATTAGTAATACACTGAATTTGTTTATTTTAATGCTGAGATGGGTTATGGTATCCAATTAAAAATGATAAGAAGCCTGGTGCTATAAAAACCATTTTCACAATAAGCCTAATTTTATTTTGCACTCTGACAGTGTGCACAAGGATTTAAAAAAAAAAAACTCACTCTTCGCCTGCTGAGGAAAACTCATGGAGGACCCATTCGCATAAGGAGAATCCCCTGAGAGTTTCAGTCCTGAGTTTGCTGAGGAGTGGGTGCCATAGTTGAAATGGTTATTTGACTCCATCTGAAATCCAAAAACAGAAAAAATACACAACTTTACACTTTAATATTCATTGTTCACCGCCAGTACAGTGTGTGTTGGTTATGTAACTGCTTAACAGTGTTAAGCTTCGTGCGCACGGTATGCATCATGTGAATCACAAATATATTATTTAATTAATTTTAACTGATTTGCATGCCGTTTTCAAGACAGTAGAAGCTACGTAATACGTACCATTTCCTCCGTAAAATGTCTATCCTAAATAATTGTATGAACTGCAACTCTTGACAGTACCATTTTGTTCCAACAACAACCGTCAAAATGTCGCAGCCAACAACAGCAGATGCCAGGCCCTAGCGAGCAGTAATGGACAACCGGAATATTACGATAGGAGCTCATCATTACCGTTGATGAGGCGCTGCTAACAAGAGCACAGCCTCCTCAATCTGCAAATATAAATGTAGTCACGGCCCAGGCAGGCAAGCCGTATTCAAGACCCGGTGGCCCAACAATGGAGAGAATCGCCACAAATGTTTTGTCACTCCGAGGCCTAAGGAACTGTTAACACTCCGTACCATCGTGATACCGTGTAGCCACATATGGATACATGATTTCCTAATTCAACAAGGCCGTTGCAAAAGCTGGCGCCGCGTTAGCCAAGTCGCGCTAGCTACATTATCAAACGAACAATTCACTTTAAAGCGCTGCTAATTGTGCTAACAACTGATACCGTAACATTAGATACAAGTTCAACTCACAAAGGGGTTGAATGGACAGTTTACTTTAGAAACATCACACAAAAATTATTCCCCGCTTCAGTGCCAAGGTTATTTTACCAAAGCATCACAATAGGACATAGCTATCGCACGCTAGCTAGATAGCTAACTGATAGCATCCTTAACGTATACCCAGAGTAAGTACGGTACTTAAGCTGCAATGTTAGCTAATAGCCAGGTAACAGGTACCGCGACCACACTGATTTGGATCCATGATGCCCACTAGGAACTGAGAGCACCGCGGGTGAATATAAATATCAGCCGGTCAGCAGACAATGACTAAGTCGCTCAGACTCGCTTGTTAACAGATGGAGGCGTGCTCCCTTTTGTTCACGGGCTAACGTTAGCTAGCAGGCAGATGAAGTTACATTGTTTACGCTGCACGCACACAGGCAATTTTTGCAGAGCATCATCCTCCCACAATACCACCATCAAAAGTTTCGCTGATTTTTGAATTAAAGCTACTCAACCTTTCAGTCCTTGGATTTCGAAGGCGTAAATGCTTCTAAACCTTCTTCTTAACGAATGTACGGGGGACGATGGCACAGCGATAAATAATAAACTACTATTCCCTAACCTTTGGGTTTTAAATTAGCAAACATGGCTGGTGTGGTCCGGTGCAGCCATGATCACAGAACAGAGCGAGCACTGTCAGCATCCCAACAATAACTACACACATCCTGTCACTAGTCATGAAACTTCACATGAAAATAGCTAATTTAATAATACTGCATTTTATAATATATCAGTCTGCATTAAAATGCTTGCATATTAATACATTTGTAATAATAATTAAGTAATAACCTATACAATTACTATACATGTGACAATGACCATTCTTCCTCCACGAGTAATTTTACTTTTTAAAACGTTAAGAACATTTCGCTAAGGATTATTTTAGGAGAAAATAGTAACGTACAGCACTTATTGCTAAAATAGAATAGAAATTAAATTAATGACACTAATAATAATAACAATATTACAAGATTCTCGCTGTTATTAGGCTATTCATAGTAGCCTAGGAAAAACATCTTCAGCTAAATGTTAATTAGCGTAATATGTAAACAGAACTTTATAGTCGTGCCTGTTTTTATATACACCACTTTAGTAGGTTAATTTACTTTATACAAAAATGCATTATCCTATCATTATTACTAAGTTTGTAGTTTACAAATGCAGCTGTCAGGCATCCCAACAGCAGCCCACCTACATACACACCCTATCAAATGCCTTACAATTTGTAGAAGCTATTCATTAGTTGTTTTTATCAAAACATTTTATTAATTTAGACTAAATATATTTAGTAGACTATTTGAATTGGATATTTTTTCATCTTGCTTTGTTTTTCCAGTTTTTAGTTTGATGTTTGTGTCTAGTTAATCCTGTATTTGTCTTAGCCTATGGTTTTTTAAATTTCACTGGAGTCATTTTCTGGCACCTTCGTTGGCTACACTGTCAAATCTTCTGTTTTATTTTAACGTGGCTCGGGGTGAAAACAGGAAACTGGTTTTGCATATTCCATTCACTTTTTCGGAAATGACCGTGAGGAAATCAGACTTGACGAGGAAGTATGCTAAAATTCAGGGCCGGAAACCAGGAGGTTTCTGGGCCCTAGCGCCGATTGATAAAAGTTCTATTAGTAGATCACAAAATTGTACTCAAGTAGACACATGCATTATAAGTTAGACTACTTTTATTAAATTCAACAGTCAACGGTTTAAAATGCCCCTGCTTCACTGGATCAGATTTTTTTTTACTGATTGTCTATAGAAGGCCCAGATCAATGGCGTTCTAAACACGGGGGTCCCATGGGTGCGTTTTATCACCATCTTGTTTTGCTTACTCCAATGCAGGACAGTAATGTTATGCTAGTGAGTTGCTCCATAAGAAGAACTGTGATTATTTTGAAACTGTTAAGTTTTAAGTACCTTAAATATATAGATAACATTTATTTTAGCGTTTATACTATGAAAACTACTTGTGTCAAAATGTTATCATGGTGTTCAACATCTCAGTCTGAGCTTGACTGCTATATAAAACCAAACTAGCTAGGGCTGTAAAAGCTGAAAAGCATATAGGTTGCCAGCAGATTCTCTTTACAATATAGAAAACAGCCTGGTGTTAATGACATTCAACATCTCTTGTCCAAATTTAATTCTGTTGCTTTTAATTTATTTTTAATCTAACACAATCCACATCATTGTCAGACTCCACCTCTATGATACTAATTACATTCCGTATTTCTGAGTCATTAAGGTCATAATTCTGTTTTGAGGTCACAGTGATCGTGATGTACTGGACTCAATTGCTGAATGTGCCTACTGAGCACAAATCCTGGAACCAAACAAGAGATCCAAGGCTATTCAGGTGTTAGGTCACACCAACCAGGACCCTCCTTTTCAACATTTGCCACACACTGTATTTAAGAAGAAACAAATAAAACACAATATCATTTACAAAATGATTCTTAAACAGTTTATTAGAATGATGTAGACAATAAAAAAAGAATTTCCACTGTAATTCAACATTACTTGTATCCCCTTACATTTTATTGACAGTGCAAATATAATTTGGTCACCACATCCCTGACACTCCCTCACCAACAAGGGATGTTCTATTCTAGATAAATGGAAACCTAGAGGAGGACGTCAACAAAACCATGTGATGCTCATACCCAAACAAGCTTTAAGTTCTTTTGCAACAATTCACCTTCTGCTTTCTAAGGTCAGAGTGCATGTTACAGCAGGTGGATATGGAGAGAGGAAACGTTAAGACACTATGTACTTCTTATGGAATTCATTCAGATTACCAAAGTAGGTGATCTAGGAAGATGTAAATATTTCAGAATATTCCAATCTTACAGACAATAAATGTAAATTAAAGGGAAACATGTAAGCTGAAAGGTTAGGCTACAGAAACAAAGACTGGCTCCCTGGATATCAGTCACAGCACATGGAAGGTTTTAGAGGAACCCAGTTAGTGAATACACCTTCTGATCTACATAGCTAAAGTCTTCTTAAATCATGAGATTAACTACACAACTTTAAGCTACAGTATTAGGAATGGGTGGGCCTAATCAATTTAAACCACAATTCTTTTAAAAACAAAATTCCAAATCTGAACACATATTGCTTATTTAAGGACAGCTTTTCTCAAAAAAAAAAAAAAAAAAAAAAAAAAAAAAAAAAAAAGGGGGCTAAAGTCAGCTTTTTAAATTTAAAAAAAAAAAAAAAAAAAAAAAAGAAAGAAGTGTGCTTAGTTGCAATATTTAACTGTAAAACCAGATATCCAAAAAAGGTGCAGTACAACAAATGGAAGTGGATATAGCTGCTCTGTACAATACCGTGCATATTAACCTTCAGTGAACTGATCAGTCAGGAATTTGGAGCTGAGGCTATGGATTTAAATATGGCTACTGACTCATATATACACAGTTTGTCACTGCCTTCAGTTTCAAGATGTATGTTTGTAAAATTCTTCTTGCTCTGTTCTTCTGTTTTCTTTCCAGTCTTAAAGCCTCCTATTCCAAATCTGGCATTTCTGAAAGTCAAAACAGAAATAACATTAAACCCCCATCAAAACAAACACGTCATCTGGCATTGAAACAGTCATATACAGTTGTAATTTGAGTTAATACAAAGACTAACGCTTACTCTCATCATCGCTATCTGCAGACTCATCCTAAAAAGACAAAAGGTACCAGGTTAAAATATTACATAGCATCACCTAATGGTGCAAGAAGAGTTCAACATAGTAACATTACTGACAGTGGCATTTGCTTTATGATCAGTTTTTATTCGTGAATCTTGGATTAATCCTTAGAAATGAGGTAAAAGAAGAAGGATTCTTACATCATCTGCACCGTCTAGATCAGGCAGGTCATCCTCGCCTCCCATGTTGTTCATCATCTGTAGTAGTAAACCAATAGCATTTAAGACTTCATTTTACTTGCTAAATGGAAACCAAGTGCATCCAATTTAAATGAATGCTGCTACTATACTGCTACTTCAAAAGACCCAATTCCACACACTCAAACTAGGACAATTTATAGGGTATTTTTAGACAGGAAAAGCAGGGAATAACATGCACCAAACAATCCTGATTAAATGTGAACCTAGCATGCTCCAATTCATGGTCAGCATACCCACCAACAAATCTTTACATCTGTACTCACTAGTATAGTGATTAGGACTGTGCGTGTGCACATTAGATTTTTTTTTTTTTAAGTAGTCAATATTCCAGTAATATCACTGATCTATACACATTCTAAGATTTAGACATTGCTGGGCCTTGGTCAAGTGTAAGTTTTTTTTTGTCTGTGATTATTTGACCATTTGCATTAAAGCTTATAGAACTTTTTTTCTTTAACTGACATTTTCAAAATAATTATGGCATATTTAAACCATGCTAATCACGCTGCTTACATCTGAGAACTGATCAAAGTTGCCCATCTCCTCATCTGAGTCATCCTCCCAGTCTTTCCAGTTGTTGAAGTCAACACTGAGCCAACTCAGCTGTGAAACACACAAAATCGCCAACTTTTATTATAGGAATTTTAATCAATAATGCGATTCTAAAATCAATATAATGCTGTGCATCTATCACAGTATGGGGTCCAATACCACCCTCTAGTAGTTGTAGAACTTGTCAGACACTACGCACCAATAAGGATAATAGGGATAAGGATAATCACCTTTATTTGGCCCAGTATGTTACACACAAGAAATTTGTTTCCGGTACAGAACCGATGGCAGCCATCTGTGGCGCCACCTCAACCGATGGCTCTAACCATCGGGGGCAACGGGGGGTTTCAGTGTCTTGCCCAAGGACACTTCGACATGTGGACTGCCGGTACAGAGATTCAAACCTTCACCCTTCTGGTTGGGAGACGACCGCTCTACCCACCACACCACTGTTGCCTCCCCTAACCCCTAATGCCACCTAACAGCAACATTACATTAACTTCACACTGGTTGAGCAGGTCATTAGGCAGTGGAGAAGAAGTTTTAGCAGCTCAAGAATATTTTAAGATGAGTGGTGACGACAAAAGTAAACCCAACTGTGAGCTCTGATTCTCTGCTCTGCTGTGTGCCTGTGACTATCCCTTCCTCCACATCCCACACAGACAAGAGGTCGCATTTTACTGAAACTTCAACACAATCCAATAATAATGGAGAGTAATTAAACACTAGAACAAGCAGAACGCAACACGCTTGGAGAAACGCGATGCCTTCACTCTCCCCATGGTCAAAATGCCTGGTCCCCTTCATCCACTAAACCTATATGGTGCTTGTCCTATTAACTGTAATGAATTGTTGTGAGCAAAACAAGGGCTACTTTTATGTAGTTAACAGGAGGGTCTGATAAGCTGTGTATGAAAGGAGTTGAATTCCTGTGGATTGAGATCGAGCAGCTCCTAATGTTTGCAGCAGAGAGCACACAATGAAGCCACAGTCGCCAGAGCAGCACCCTGGTTACATTAAACATTTAAACTGAAAACTG